TCAGGGCAAACTTGTACATTGAAATTTTATTCACATTCAAGGGATTTGGAGGACAACTATGGTTTATCCAAGAGAAATAAATATCATAGATATCAAACCCCACCAAACTTCCAACCCTACCATGCACCTCCACGACGTTCTTTACCACCACGCACAAGACCGCTTCCTCTAGTAAATATTCCTCAGATGATTCATAAACCAAGGCGCCGTGTGTCACCATTGTCGTTGCCACTATTGTCATCGCCCTGGTTTTTATTCTTGTGGAAAACTTATCGTCATCGATTTTGGGATCCTTTCGTCCTTCTATCTTGTTTTTTTTCTTGATTCTGAATCGATTTTGGGTTTTCTTGGACCTAAAGTCGATTTTTTGCTCAAGTATGTTCCATCAGTAGAGAAAGCCCTAATCATTTCTTACAAAATCATCGTCAAGAACACAAAAGCTATACATGTCCTCCATTAGCAGAAACCTTGAGTTGAGCAGTGAAAGTGTCAGTGCCGAAGAACTCTTATGGATCCCCCAACGCTTGTTCGAGAACAAATTGGACTCTGGATTTTGATTCAAAATCCATCGATCTCTTCTGAATGGGTTTTGGAGGGGAATGAACGAGAGATAGGATTGGAGGTCATGATGAAATAGTTAAGTCAATAGCAGGGGAACGACCCCCTTCTAGACCATGCATATTCTTCGTCGTCGATGAGAAGCTAAGATTGGAAGGTATAATTCGATGAAACCAATAAAGCAAATAGCAACAACAATCATGGATTTCATGAGGTGAATTAACATATAGACAAAAATTGTGTTTGATTTCATGAGGCAAAATAACATATAGATCGAAAATTGTGTTTGATTTCACGGGAAGAAGTAGATTATTGATCAAAATTGTTTCTGATTTCATGTGGTGAAATGACATATATGAAAATTATGTTCGGATTTCATGAGGTGAAAAAGCATAATTATAAAAATTGTGTTTTATTTCATGAGGTAAAATAACCTGGTGAATATGTACTCCATTTGGTGAATCTTTGTTACCAAAATGATGATTATGCCCTTTTTTAATTAAGAAAAACTTTCAATTAAAACCATAAGATTTTCTTTTGAAAACCCATAAAATTGTGATAACCTTGAGAACTTGTGCATCATGTGTTATTTCATATGATAAGATTTAGAATGTTGATTAACATATATTTGTATCACAATATTTTTGTTTCACATATACTCGATTCACAATGTGAACCTTTTAAAAGTGTTTGTGAAACAAAAAATACATGTAAAAAAGTCACATTTTGAATCAAATACATATGAAACAAATATATGTTAATTAGTACATTAAATACTATACTTAGATGAAAAAAAACATGTAAATAAAACCTTAAGGTAGAAATTCTCAAAAATCTCACAAATTTTTGGAGTTCACAAATGATTAAGTCCTCATATATATATATATATATATATATAAAGAGAGAGAGAGAGAGAGAGAGAGAGAGTTTGTTTCAAATACATCTCATCGCATTTGTACAACCAATGTAACCCAATAAATTAAGATATTTTATGGAAATAATGAAAGTTTATTTATTATGATTTGAATATTTATGGAAGATGAATATGGTTCATTAATTATAATCAATATTTTATATTAAAAAACAATCAAAACTTCTATGAAATCACATATTAATCAAATGAAATGGACGGTTGAGATTGGATTGTATTGGTTGCATAAATGTCAATGGTTGTATAATAATCAACCTCTCTCTCTCTCTCTATATATATATATAGAGAGAGAGAGAGAGAGAGAAAGAAAGAAAGAAAGAAGGGGGGAGATAGATGAGATGAGACATATTTTACAAACCCAACCATTACTACAAACTAAATAATTGAGATATTTATAGAAATTACGAGAGTTTGTTTATTATGATTTTGGTATCTATGGAAGATTATCATAATTCATTTATTATGATCAACGTTTTATATTAGGAACCATCGAGATATTCATTGAGTCGGATATTCGTTAGTCTAGATAAACAGCTGAGGTTAATTTGTATGGGTTGTACAAATTTATGGGATTTGTAAATTAAATAACTTATATATATATATATATATATATACACACACACACACACAAAGGGAGAGGTTCATGTGAGAATGATAACTAAATAAGAAAATAAAAGAATACTTATTGAATAATAATTTATTTGAATCATATCTTAAATAAAACTTTTTAAAAAATCACCGAATAAGGCATAAATGTTATTGTTACACACGGATTACATATAAAAGAATTATTTATTTATATAAAGATTATTTAATGCATTTAATAAAGATATTTATTTACAATTTTCATGATTTAAGCATGATTAATTTTTCTTTTATTTTTATGATATTTAAAATAAACATGATTTAATTTTTCATTATTATATTTATTTTTATTGAAATAATTTATTTAAGAAATTTTAACAGTTTTCATCAATTAATCGACATTTTTTTCAAAAAAGAATAGTTAATTTTTGTGAACATATCATATGTGATATTGTTAAATTGAAAATAAATATAAGTTACCTACAATATTACATTTGATATTTGTAAATTATGAATTATGCTTTAAAGTATTTGTAATCTTAAACATATTAAATGTGTTTTTCTACATATTTAATGTGATTTTATTTTCATTATTTTTCTTTTTCAATATTTAATCTGAATAGCTGTTTTTCACGTTTTAAATCACATATAATTAGAAAAAAACTAAAAAGAATCAACTAATTATGAATAATATGTGATTTTGACGAAAATTGTGATTTTTTAAAAAACTGTCTTAAATTAAAAAAAATGTTTAAAAAAGAAATTCTTTTTACAAAAGATAACAGAAAAAGATGTCGACAAAGTCATTTTCTTTTTCTTTTTGCTTATTTTCTTCTGTTATTTCTTCATGTCGGAAAAAGACGCTCCGGCCCATCAACTACTGTTAAATATACACTTATACCCTATACTTCTGAAAATGTTTAATTTCAGTCCCTATATTTCATAAACCTGACTCCTTCCCCCCAAAATCTAGTTTTAGTAGCCTTTATTCCTTTCAACAACTTCACATTTCCACATCTAGCTTCCATCAAACAATTTCACATACTTTAACCTACATATGCAAAATGATTGCAACATTAAATTTTAACCAAAACCAACATACAATGTAACACTTTAATACATTACTAAGTGACCATAAAAATTTAGTATAAAAAACAACTCCGTTTACCAATTTTATCCGGATTAAGTAATTAAACAAAAGATTGTTGACGAGACTACATCATTATGCAAGATATGACGAGATATTAAATATCAACTACTTGAACCGACTACCGACTTCCAACTTTCATGCTCTCCTTAATTATATGTTGGAGTAGTGTTTTGGCTCCCCGGTATCCATCATTCACATAACGATATGTCTTTAAGGGTGCGTTTGGTACGTAGAACAGGGTGGGACAGGACAGAACAGAACGCACTTGTCCCATGTTTGGTGTGTCTCTAAGTGGAACTAACTAGAATAAGAATGGGACACGCGTGTACTGCCTAACACCATGGAACTAAGTGGAACTCAAAATTATTTCCCTCATTACCCTTTTCCCCTTACCCGGGTGCTTCACAAAACCTAACACCCTCCATCGCTTCCTYCGACGATCGCTTCCTTCGACGGCGACCAGGACCATCGACGGCGACCACGACCATCGACGGCGACTACGACCATCGACAGCGACCAGGACCATCGACGGCGACCAGGACCAGCGAGTTTCGATCGGCGTTCGTCTCTTCAAATCTGTTCCAATCGAAGGTACGATTCTCTCCTCTCCATATCCAATCGAGGTTTTTCTCCTCTCCATATCCAATC